GTGCGATGCACATACGGACAAGGACCAGTAGTAGAGCCACCCCCACCGGTGGAGCCCCGCTGAGCAACCAACTCATGAAGCTGCTTCGGCGAGGGAGTCTCCTGCTGATGTGGCTGCTGCAGTTGCTGGTGCCCACCCCCAAAATCGCCACCTCCACCGGCTGCTCTACTAGACGCAGCTCCTTGGGTCACCACACCTGTGACACCACCCTCGCCAGCTCCACCACAACCACCACCCCCACCCCCTCCGCCACCTTCGCCACCCCTGCCCCCCCGGCCCCCACGACTACCACCGCCACCTCCACCACCCCCACCCTTCCTACGCCCTCCCGAGCAACGAGGAAGTCAATAGCAGCAGTAGAGACAACAAATGACGCGAAAGGGGAGGGAGCGCACCCCTAGATAAAAGGAGGTGCTGGGGGAGCCACGGGAGGCAGCTACAGCGTGGGCACTAACCTCGGCCTTGAGTTGACAAGTCTCAAACATGGCAAGGTCGAGACAAGCAGGGTCTAGGGTGAAAAATTAGTCTCGAACAGCATGAAGGGGGGTAGGGAGGCGAGTCATGAGGAAGTACATAGTGAGATACATGGGCCCGCTGGTCGGGCGAGAGGTGAGCGCGGACAACAAGCTTCGGGGTGGCGTTGCACGTTGTCCACTTTGTGCAGGCAATGCGGTCAGCGCGATATTTGTTCTGTACCTCCTCACAAGCGTCAGCAGCAGGCTTAGCTGTAGTCTTGGGGGCCTTAAGGGACCCCGACGTGTGCTCGAACAGGGAGACATCGCCCTTAGGGAGACGTCTTGAGCGGCAGCAAGCCGGCAGCAAGCAGCAGTGGCCGGCAGCGGCAACGCGCGGGCGGCCAGCCGGCCGGCCGGCAGTGGGCAGCAGCGGGCGGCAGCAGGCCGGCAGCGAGCGGCAGTGGGCAACAGTGGGCCCGGAGCGGGCGGCTAGCGGGCCGCTGTGGGCCGGTGGCAAGCGATAGCACGGGGCAGCAGTAGGCAGGGCGGCGGTAGGCAGCGGGTGGCAGCGGCAGCGCGCGGTGCAGCGGCGGGCCAGCGGGCGGCAACGGCAGTAGGCAGGGCGGTGGTAGGTAGCGGGAGGGTGCGGCGCGGCGGTAGGCTAGCGGGCAGCGACAGCAGGCGTGCAGCGGGCCGGCGGTGGCAGCGGGCGGCTAGCGGGCGAGGGGCGAGCGGCAGCATGCAGCAACGCGTGTCGCAGCACGCAGCGAGCTGCATGTGCAGCGTGCACAGTAGGGGCAGTGGGTTGCGTGAACAACAGCGATAGGCAGTCGCGCAGGAGGGCAGTAGCGCGCGCAGGAGCGACAGCGCAATAGTAGCAGCAGTTAACAGCGTGCGCGCAGAGGCAGCAGCGCATAGGGTAACCTGAATGAACCTACTACAATGATACCATGTCAGAATTACAAACAACGAAATGATTTACTAGCAAGAATTGGTGATAAAAGTACTAACCCTAAAATGGTTATACCCCATACAGCAAACTAAGGAATTTGGAGGCGTTCTCGCAGCAGGCACAAGAAGAAACGTTTTCCTCAAGATATAATTTTAAGCGAACAAGCAAAAGCTGTTTTTAGTGAGCCTATTGCAACCTATTCTATCCTACACTATTTCTAAGGTTTGTGACTTCGTTCGTCGTAGCGCAAACACTTTTCGAAACTCGAGCCACTATATTTTGTGATCTGGCGGGTTCGCGTAGCTTCGACGATGTCGATTCGTAAAATACGGTACTGTATCACCCCAAGTAGTAGCGCATATGCGTTTATAATAAAACCGGTTTTTTTAAGGGGGGCGCTTGTAATTGAATATCGGCCATAAGCGCCGGCGCTTATATAGTGACAAATACAGAAATACAACTTAAGCGAACCAAACTGTACATTTCAGTCTCGTAAGTTGAATCGAATCAAAATTTTACAGCGTCCAGATTCAGAATCGCGTGAGGGCGATTCTGTAACAGTGCACGGAGCTTTGGCAGGTCATTTTTCCCGTTTGCCAGCTCATACTTGTAAAGATAGTGTGTAGAGTTAGGAGCCATAGCTAGGTAAGTCCTAGCTAGGCAAGAGAAGTTTAGGCAAAAGAGGAGGGTTTTCACTAGCAGCAATGAGGATACATATAGCAAACCCTAGATGGGTTGTACTCGCTATAGAGCACCCCACTACAGGCTAGAGAATAACATTCTGACACACCCCCATAGCCAAAGTGGGGTGTAATCAGTACAATGAGCAAGCAGGTATAGAGCAGGAGTTCACAAAGGTAAGCAAAGCTAGAGCTAATCACATCGGGCAAGTGAGGAGGAGGAGGAGCTGTGGAGGTAGAGAAGATGGGAGGCAACGACTGAAGCTGCAGAGGCACGGGCACAGGAGCGGCTGACTCAGAGGCTACCGAAGCAAGGGCGACGGACTACTGGAGTAACTGGCTCGGCGGCTATAGAAGAGCGGCAGGAGCAACGGACCCACTGGCGACTGGTGCAGCAGGCTCACTGGCTACCGAAGCAAGGGCGACGGACTACAGGCGCTGCAAGCGACACGACAGGTACCTCCACACAACCTCCTCCAACTGCCCCACACCCTCGACACACACCCACTGCTCAAACCCTAGCTCCACTCCCACGCACCCCCCTAAAACCCTAAACCCCAGTCTCCCACTCATCCACCCCCCTCAGCGACAGCTGCAGCAGTGGGAGACAAAGGAGGAGGAGGAGAAGGGCACGACGCGCACAACGGACACCCCCACAACCACCACCCCCACACTCCTCACCCCCAAACCCTAAAACGGGTGGGATAGGGGCAGGAGCGCGGGGGACGGAGAGGGGGGGGAAGGCGCGCGCCTCTAGGGCGCCAGAACGGACGGGTGGGGCGAGGGAAGGGGCGTGGCGTGCGCTGCTCCCCTGGGCGCCGCGACGGACGGGCGGGGGGGACGCGCGCGCGGCTCCCCAGGGCGCCGCGACGGCCTGGCGGGGCGCGCGCGGCCTCCCGAGGGCGCCGCGACGAGCTGACGGGGCGCGCGCGGCCTCCCCAGGGCGTTGCGACGACCACGCAGGGCGCCCGCTGGCTCCCCAGTGCGTCGCGACCGACGGGCGGGGCGCTCGCGGGCTCCCGAGGGCGTCGCGACGGACGGACGGGGGGCTCGCGGGCTCCCCAGCGCGCCGCGACGGGCAGGGTGGGGGGCCGCGCGTGCTCCCCAGGGCTCCGCGACGGACGGGCGGGGCGCGCGCTGGCTCCCCCACAGCAGTAAACCGCCACGCGCCTCGGGGCGCACGGCGGGCAGAAAACCGCCGCGCGCCCCGAGCGCGCGGCGGGATGAAAAATAAGAGGCCGCGCACCACGGGGCGCGCGACACAGCGTAGGGCAGCGGAAGCAGTAGGAGGGCCCACAGGCCAGGAGCGTATGTGCTCTGATACCATGTAAAGATAGTGTGTAGAGTTAGGAGCCATAGCTAGGTAAGTCCTAGCTAGGCAAGAGAAGTTTAGGCAAAAGAGGAGGGTTTTCACTAGCAGCAATGAGTATACATATAGCAAACCCTAGATGGGTTCTACTCGCTATAGAGCACCCCACTACAGGCTAGAGAATAACATTCTGACAATACTGACTGGACGCGCAACCAGTGAGGTCCTCGGAAATCAAACAATGTGAAAGTGGGGTGTTGACTTGCTCGAATATTGAAATTCGTTAAAGTCTTAATCAGGATTGAAAAATAAACTTATGCACGCGCTTATAATATATAAGCGTTTTACAAGGGGGGCGCTTATAATCGAATTCCGGCCATAAGTGCCATGCTCCGGTTAGAAGCGCCGGCACCTTTAATCAGACGGCACCTATATCCGGGGCCATACGGTATGCTTGGCCTCCTTTCCAAAAGTTTGAGATTGATTCCGTTCGAAATGGGCAAGGTGTGAACCAGTGCGCAATCTTCAACCTCGTCAGCAGTAGCAAGCCAATCATTCGCGTCGAACACCTGGAAGCATGAGCATTTGTGAGTTCACACTTCGAGAGAAATGCAACTTGCCACTTGTGCCTTGCTCTCGAGGGATGAGCACACTCTTGGTTTGAGGTTTCACTGCTGTTCAGAACGTGAGTAACGATTGGCGAGCATATGACGCTCACGTTACTTCCCACGTGGCGTAAACAGCTGCTCGCGTATTGACGAAATGAACACGCTGCGCGAGCAGCGACCTATCAATAACTTCCTGAAGTGGCAGCGCGAACTTGCCGCTCGAGCAGACGCCACTCGCTGCGATTGGGTCCGAGAAACTCGAGAGTCAAACTCGATTTCAATACCTACATCTCACTTGGTAGCGCTCGGTAGCGCTACCGTTTCGGTAAACGACGCTACCGAGTGAGTCAGCATTCTGCCCGCGGGCAGAAAAACTAAAACCCATTCGGATTGCATGCCATTCCGGAGCCTCAACCCTAAAATTTTTGGGTTGATGCCTCCCGAATGGCATGCCATCCGATGGGGGCTTATTTTTTTTTCTTGCCCGCTGACTCATTGCACTGCCTGCTGACGCAGCCAGTGCAATATATTACCCAGAACACCTTCGCCAAGCCCCATTGAAGTCAAATTCTTGTTCTGAACTGCTCCTTGATTGCTCGCTAAGAAAAACCAGTTCATTGCTTCAGCTGCTTAAATCAATGTCACAGATAATACGGTATTGGTTGGGTTACGAAAGAGAGTTATTTCTATAATCAACATCCAAGTGGTATGAAGTACATGTTCAAGGGTTTTGTCTAGAAACGCCGTTGATAATGTTCACCTAAGCAGTATTTCTTGAATTTGAGGAAAATCCCCAGGTCCTATATCCGGGAGAAGTCAATAATGTACGTTTCAGCAGAACTTCACAACTGTAAATCTCCAAAAGGAACTCCGCCATCAACAGAGTGTCTTAATACAACCGACCTCGACAATCAACAGCGCCACAGCAACAGTTCAATTGCTTCACTTCACCGTTTTCATCCATCACGCTGCCAACCTCGTAATTGTAGTCGTAGGTCAGTTCCTGCATTACAAGGCAATGCAGAGAAAGACAAAAACAGGCAAACAGGTCATATTACATGGCAAGCTCAAAGCTTGTGGCAAGCTCAAGTCGCCAGGGAACATTGGTGGTGAGACACCCTTTGCAATCTGGGTGAACAAAGCAAGATACCATTCGAGCTAGGGCTGAAGTTTGTGCAAAAGAAGACGTGATTCCGGGCAGGAACTTGGGCAGGGAGAGAGTGGAGAGAGGACAGATGAACTTGGGCAGGGAGAGAGTGGAGAGAGGACAGATAAACTTGGGCAGGGAGAGAGTGGAGGGAGGACACATGGACTTGGGCAGGGAGAGAGTGGAGGGAGGACATATGGACTTGGGCAGGGAGAGAGTGGAGAGAGGAGCAGAGGGACTTGGGCAGACTAAAAGCAGGGCCAGGAGGGTGTGGAAACAGAAACAATGGGACTAACAGTGTGGACAAGAAGGGGAAGGAGGCTGAAGGAAGGAAAAGAGAAATGGAGCCGACATTACTTACCGTTAGCGGGGGGATGTTCTCAGAGGCGACGAGGAGGAGGTGGGAGAGCTCGGGGCGCTTGTGGTCCCAGAGGGCGGACTGGTAGAAGAGATTGGGCGAGCAGCTGTGGTTGATGAAGCGCGCCACATTGCCACGCCGCAGCCCGTCGATGGCGTAGTGCACCTCCTCGTGCTCCCTGCCCTCCCCGCCCTCCCCGCCCTCCTTGCTCGCCTTTCCCGTTGCACGATGATTTTTGGCACTCGGCTTGGCCTTGGCTTGCTCCTCCAGTGCATGCTCCAAGTCCTCAAACATGGGCTGCAGGAAGAGGGAGAATACAAACAACAACACCCAGCAATGTCATACAAAGAACAAACACCCAGCGAAGTAGACTGTGCTTGTGCTCCTCCAATTGACAATGTTTTGTTTCCGCCCATTTTCTGCACACTCGCCCATTTGTGAGAGAATGAGTAGATGAGAATGGGAGCTTTGCTGGAATGAGTGAATGGGGTAGTCAGTTTTTTGCGGATATGAGTGAATTGATTGCAAAACAACTCGACTAGCTAGGCACGGAATGCGTGAATATTTTCGCAAAACTAAGTGAAAGCTGTAGTCATTTTTCTGCTGTAACAATTTGAAAGGAACTCAATGACAATAGACAAAATTTGCTCTCCTTGAATTTGAATTACTTTCACCCTTTCTAATAGTGGCTACCTTTTCTGAAGATTTGTTTCCTCGGCCGCTGGATGATACATACATCTCTGCCCTGCGTGCCGAGCTTGGCGGTGCGAACGGTGTCGATGCTGATGACGTACATGTCGTCCTCCACGTGATTGAGCCGCTCGTATGGCAGCACGTCGCCCACGTACTCGCACACCACCGCCCCCGCCGGGATGAAGTCCCACGACCGCACCGCCCACCCTTTGTGCGCCGTCTTGTACACCTGCGAGCGCGCATGCATGGAAGGCAACAGGGTATGTCAAACACTACTCATACACAATAATGATTGTGTGTTGTTAGATGTGCGTAGCGGCTCCTGCTTGTGCAAATGATCATATCAGACAAATGAAGGACAAGAAAGAAACAACCTCCAATGGCAAGACGGCCTTACCTCAAGGCGGAAGCGCAGGCCTTGCTGGCCAACTCGGTTATTACAAGCTGGGCCGCAGCCACACGCGGGGCCACACTCCAACACGATGCCGCGCGCTTTGACCAACCTGATTTATGTGCCAGGGTGCACACGTTAATAACTCGAATCATTGGGATGTATATAAATCCTTTCAGACCATTTCAGATCCCAAGAATTCTCTTTCCGCCTAGCTGCCAAGAACAGGTGAGTGTGCAGAGAACAGGTGAGTGTGCAGAGAACAGGTGAGTGTGCAGAGAACAGGTGAGTGTGCAGAAAATACGTGATTCTGCAGAGCATAGGTGAGTCTGCAGGGCTTTGTACCTTCCTCCTTGCACGTAGGGAAAGCCGTCACGGTTCCTCTTGGCACACGCGCACTTGCTCTCACTCCTGCACGCCCCCTTGCACTCGCACTTGTGCGCCCCTCCATGCAGCTTGAGCCCCGTGGGCATGATGCGCCCCGTCACGTACTCGAATGCTGCACGGGTTACCATACCAGAACGGGGGGACCCCATGGTGAGCAGAAATGAGGAGTAGGGAAGCGATGTGATTTGAATTGAATTGCAAACAGTTCAGCCTGAACCTGAAGAACCAGAGGGTGAACAAGAGGAAGAGCTGCTTTTTCCTGCCTTCCCTCCTTCCCCTCCCTTGCCACCATGTCCAGGTTTCCTGCCAGAGGGTGCACCAGAGGGTAAATAAGAGGGTTTACCAGAAGGGCGAATTAGAGGTCGAACCGGAAGGGTGAATCATAAGGTGACTTGGAGTGCGAACCAGAGGGTGATACGGAGGGTGACCTGAGGGCGAATGGTGAACTGGAGGGTGAACGAGAGGTTGAACCCGAGGGCGCACCACCAGAGGGTGCGCCAGACTGGTTGGAGTCGGTGCCAGCTGAACCGGTTCGAGTCCAGTCCTTTCTCAAGTTCAAGCGAATCCACACAGGCAACAAAACCACCGCATGCCAAGCCACCCCCAACCCTACGTTGCTAAATACGAGTACCGAGTATAATACGTTAGCGTATTATATGCTTGGTATATACGCGGTACGCCAAGGCTGGCGTACTGCTGATACGCAAAAATACGCTGGCGGGCAGCTAAAACTTTTTTTCCCGGGCAGGTATAAAAAAACCTGTTTCAGGGGGGGGGTTCAGGCCGACAACAACACATGTCAATATTTTATTTCATAAATATCCAGAAATACATAGTTCATCCACATAATCCCCACCCTCTAGCGAGCTTCCCCACAGCCTATTTCCTTGCGGGGCTTTTCCACCACCACCCCTTCCCCATACTCATCCGCCAGCACTGCATCATCTCGTTCCCCCCCCAGCAGGTCATCCTCCTCCTCCTCGTCCATGTTGTAGCCGCGGGGGATAGGGGCATCCGGGATGTTCCCGGGCACAACCGTGCTGGCCCCATCCTTGTTGTACCAATTGCGCACAACGTTCCAGTTGTGCGCAATGTAAACCAGGTCCGCACACTTGGCGGACCCGAGGCGGTTGCGGCGTGCGGTGTGGACGCCTTCCCACTGCGCCCAGCCACGTTCGCATGAAGAAGCCGAGACGGGCTGAGTGAGAATCCGGCATGCGAGGGTGGCAAGCTCAGGGTACTCGGTGCTGTGCCACGACCACCACTGCACCATGCTCATCTCCCCTTTCTTCACTGCCTCCCTTGCAGCTATGGCGCTCAGCTTGCCAAAACTGCCCTCCAAGTTGATGTAGGCCAGCAATGCCTCCTGCAGCACAAGGGAGGCGCGGCGAGGGGCACCATCCTTGCCGCGCCTGAAGGTGACGTGGTCATAGTGGCGCTCGATGTAGTCCTTGAACACCCTCGTGCACTCCACATCGTTCTTGAAAATTCCCTCCTCCTGGTTGGCCGGATTCAGGATCCGGCCAACCACATGCATGGGGCAGGCAAGGGAGTTGTCCCACCTGTCCTTCACAATCTTGGTGATGTCTGCCCTCTCTGTCCGAGTCAAGAAGTCGCCTGAAGCGTCGAGCTTGTCATTGATGTCCTCGGTAAGCTGTAGCATAATGTCATACAGCTTACCCATCATGCCTTTCGCGGAAGAGTCCGTGGCCCGCATGGCCTTGAATGGCACCGCCATGAGAGAGGAAAAGAACTCCGCCACCCCCCACCACTCCTCATCCATCACAGCAGCCCTGAATTTCTCGGCTGCAGTCTTCCTATCCTTGTCCCCCGCTGCCCACACCTTCCACTCGTCGCTGAGCACCATCGCCGCCAGCCCACTCCTCACCTCACATAGCCGGGCCATGGCTATGTATTGTGTCCCGAACCTGGTTCCCGCAGGCTTGAGCACCTGCTTCCCCCCCACTTTCTTCATATAGGCACGGGTGAAGTGGTGGTTGCGCACGAAGGTAATCATCTCCCCTCCTTTCTCCACAAGCCCCTTCGCCCATCCCATTTTGCCCACATCTTCCATTAACAGGTCCAGGACATGCGTGGCACATGGCACATGCTCAATGTGCGGCCATGTGCCCGCAATCTTCCGCGCTGCCGATGCATAGTTGCTGCCGCCATCGGTGCAGACCGCCACCACATTCTCCGGCCCCACCTTATCAATGACGGGGCGGAGAAGGCTGGCGATGTACCCCCCCGTCTTCGACTCCATGTTGCAGTCCACGGCCTGCTCGAAAACTGCGCCGGAGTCGTTGACAAGGAGTATGTTGGCCTGCGGGCGGCCACAACGGTCGGTCATCATGTCCGACGACACGGTGACACCGTCCCGCTTCCAGCTCGCGGCAACGGGGGCGAGCGCTGCCTCCATTTTCTGCCGCACTTTCTTCAAGCCCGCCCCTCCAACGTAGCCCCTCTTGGGGGGAACATACCCCGGTCCCGCGCGCGCAAAGCACTGGACTGCGTAGCGGAAGACCGGATCATCCACGATGCGCTCTGGAAGCTTCAGCGCCGAGATCATTAGGCAAAGCGCGTTCCGCGTCCTCCTTGGCGCACGTTGCCTCGTCGCCGAAGAATTCTGTTATCTTCCCCTTCTTCTCCGCAGAAGCAGTGACCGCGCCCAGCACGGAGTCGAGTGCTGCAGCAGCCGCCCCTCGTTTCATGCTCTTGTTTTCCTCCTTGTTTTCGTACATGGCACGCACTTCTTCACGGACTTTCGGGGACACGTCCTTGCAAAGCCTGACAGGGCGTCCATCTTGCCCTTTCCATTTGGCGAGGTGAACTGCGCAGCGAGTGGTTCCGCCCTCAAACTTGATGCCACAAAACTTACAAAGCTTGGGATTGCCTTTGGTGTGGGGGGGAATAAGAAAATGTTTCAGAATGGGGTTCGAAAGGCCAGCCTCAACAGGCTGCGTGTTGATCGCACTACTAGACGCGTGACCAGAAGCTACATTGCTCGTCGCGCTAGGAGGGGTGGAGTTCGACGCCATGGGGCGCGACTAAGGAACGGTAAACTGCTTGAGGAAAACGGGAGATCAGAGCTCGGGAATGAAATTGAGGAGGAGAGAAACGAATGAAGGATAGGAAGGCGTCAACGAGTAAATGCTCACATGACGTGCTGGACATTTGAGAGGGGTGGTTGGATATGAGAGGTTTGGTGGGGTGGTGTGTGGTTGGGGTGGTGGGAGGTTTGGATTCTGAAATTTGAATTTCAGACGTGGGTTGGGCGATGTGCTTGGTCGCGTAACCAGTCGCGAAGCCCTAATAACCGTCGCAAATTTTTTTCAATTTCGATTTTTTTTTTTTCGCCGGGCTGCCCGCGCGTTTTTTCACGAATTCGAAGCGTATTAGCGTACCACATACGTACGCAATCGTATATACGTGGTACGCCACCCTACCCAGAGCGTATTTGGCAACGTAGCCCCAACCCTCCCCAGTCGCCCTCCTCCTGCTCCCCTCTCTCCTCTTTCTCATGCCCGTCCCCTCTAGGCCCACATCTACCAGCATGCACGAGGACCCTGATGCGTCACCGGATGGAAAACAAACGCGTGAAACAAACCATGAAGGGTCATGCACACACGCACACACTTTGTGTTCAGACGATGACGTAATCAGGCCTACACCCATAGAGAAGACAAGCTTACTGATTACAAATATGCAAGGGATGATGTTTTTGTCAGAACTTGAGCTTATAATCCATACACTAGTAATGAGCTCAGAGTTCTTTAAATACATCCAGGATGAGCAAGGAATGGATGGGGAGGAGAATCATGGACAATCTCTAGGGATTGGGGGTAATCCGAAGGCAATCTCCAATTGGTGGGTTGGAGATTGCTTGGAGATGACATTTGGGTTTGGTTGGGATGTGGGTGTACACCCAACCAAACACAATGTGCAAAATACACTACGCTAGGATATAGAAAGTACAAATACAAAATGTGAGATTGAGGGCTAACACGATCAGATTTTCACCGTGCAGCAAAACTATGCATGTAACGTTCTTATCATTCAAAGATCTGTCCAACACGTGTTGAGCCTCAAACAAGTTTTGTGTCGAAAATAATGTGCATATAGTACTTTATTCAAGTTGTGGAAACCTTTATTGTAGAATGTATGTACCTTAATTTCACCTACCGGGTGGCATGGTGGGTGGAGTGTCGATGCAGTTGGTAACGGGGACAGGAAGCCTCTCCTTGCCATTTGAGAGGTCCGCGCACACAACACTGGCGCACACGGATGATCCCAAATTACAATTGAGTCAGTGATCGTGTAGTGATATGTTGCAGCAAGGTTGCAGCAATATGGTCTCATCCTAAGCCTCGACTCCCAGATGACTAAAGCGCAAAAAGTCATGATGTCAAGTTCCCCGTGAACGATATTCAGTGCACGTGCACTAGATGCAAGGGGCTTGTCCTGCACTAGATGCAAGGGGCTTGTCCCAAAAAGGGCGTGCACTCACTCTGATGCTCTGTTCACGCTCGTTGGGATCTGGCCGCGCATGAAGCGAACCTGAGGCACACAAGGGCATGACCCACAAGCGTAGTGCGAAAGTGAGGCAAGGTAGACATGAGCAAGTTACTGGATTGGTTTATTTCTATAGCCTGTATGAACATTTCTTCCATGGGGATAGTTTCTGGCTTGCTAGTTTGTGCGGGGGCAAGAGAGGAGCAACCACAGTGAGTACCATGCCGAGGTGGAGGGGGGGAAGGGGGGGAGGAGGGGGGGGAAGGAGGAGGAGGAGGAGGAGGAGGAGGAGGAGGAGGGGGGGGGGGGAGGAGGGGGAGGAGGAGGAGGAGGAGGAGGGGGAGGTGAAGGAGGAGAGGGGGGGGACGAGGAGGAGGAGGAGGAGGAGGAGGAGGAGGAGGAGGAGGAGGAGGAAGAGGAGGAGGAGGAGGAGGTGGAGGAGGAGGAGGAGGAGGAGGAGGAGGAGGAGGAGGGGGGGGGGAAGGAGGGGGAGGAGGAGGAAGAGGGGGAGGTGGAGGAGGAGGGGGGGGGGAACGAGGAGGAGGAGGAGGAGGAGGGGGAGGAGGAGGAGGAGGAAGAGGAGGAGGAGGAGGAGGAGGAGGAGGAGGAGGAGGAGGAGAAGGAGGAGGAGGAGGAGGAGGAGGAGGAGGAGGAGGAGGAGGAGGAGGAGGAGGAGGATAAGGAGGAGGAGGAGGAGGAGGAGGAGGTGGAGGAGGAGGACTAGGAGGAGGAGGAGGAGGAGGAGGAGGAGGAGGAGGAGGAGGAGGAAGAGGAGGAGGAGGAGGAGGTGGAGGAGGAGGAGGAGGAGGAGGAGGAGGAGGAGGAGGAGGAGGAGGAGGAGGAGGAGGTGGGGAAGAAGGAGGGGGAGGAGGAGGAAGAGGGGGAGGTGGAGGAGGAGGGGGGGGGACGAGGAGGAGGAGGATGGGGAGGAGGAGGAGGAGGAAGAGGAGGAGGAGGAGGAGGAGGAGGAAGAGGAGGAGGAGGAGGAGGAGGAGGAGGAGGAGGTGGAGGAGAAGGAGGAGGAGGAGGAGGAGGAGGAGGAGGAGGAGGAGGAGGAGTGGGCGGCACAAGACGAGGAGGGGGAGAGAGGATCCGACCCGCTACTGTCTGGCGGGTCAGGGATTTCCCTCGATGATTTGTGCGGATCAACGATTTTGCCCGCCGATCATGAAAGTTGACTGAGCAAAGCCAGGCCCTCCCTCCTCCCCAACAAAATTGTTGAAACGAATCATTCAAACCTATTCGCAGTCGCTTCCCACCCATCACCTCACTGAATCTACAAGACCCAACCCCCCCACACCCTTTTACGGATCTCGACATTGAGCTCAGCCAGTTCTAGCGCCCTTCAGCTCATAGCACATACCACCACATCTAGACTGATCAGTGTAGGTCAGCACCAAAAAGCCGGGTCGTATGAGATTTTGAGGGGGGCCTCTAGAACCGAACGTTGGCGGACCGGAGAAGTTTGAGCTCTTCACACTAGCCGTGGCACCTAATCTGCCAGAATTGGACCGAAACTACTACAAAATGCCTGCTAAACATATTACTTTTAGATTCCCTATAACCGACTGAGGGAAACACACTAGTGTTAGGTGGCATGAGCATCCGGCCCGACCCGACCCGACTTGGCCGGGGCCAGGCGGGATCCTGGGTCGGGTCGGGTCGGTTCGGGTCGGGTCAGCCCCGGGCCAGGATGTTGGAGACCTTGACCCGGCCAGGGGGTACGACCTGAGGTCGGGTCGGGTACACGAAACCCGCTTTTGCCCGCGCTCTGTGCAGATTGACAATTTCGCCCGCCGATCTGCACAGATCGACAATTGTGGTGAAACGGACTGGATGACAGCTCATCGTCGCCTTGGGCACATTGCTATGCCCACACTGCAGCAACTGCAAAAAAAAGGAAGGGGTTAACGGGCTGAAGCTGATTGGTGCAGCAACAACTCACAAGTGTGAAACCTGCCTGCAGAGAAAGTTCACTTGGTTCCCGTTCCATTCAACCAAGGGTGGCAGCTGCCACATAGACGTGCAAACGTCTCGCTCCTCGTGCAAGTCCCACAGCAACCTCGCTGCCAGCTGTCGCTTGAATGTTTTGGCACCATCAGTAGAAGTGCTGACGCCACACTTGGCCAGCTTTCGCAAAGAGATCGGGTTGACTTTCAAGTCGGGGTCAAAGAGCATCTCGCTCAGCACCACCTGTTTGCTATCAGCTCATTTTAATGCAGCACGTCCCGTCCCTGTCACCTTGAGAGCGTGCCCGGATGCCGACTAGACCTCAGCAATCAGTGCAATCCCTATTTTGTCAAGGAGCTCGACCTTTGAAGTCGTACTCTATGCCGCTCCCGAATCCAAGATCCACGTGTTGAGCGGGTGCACTTCGGCTCCAGCATGCGGATTTTTCGGTACGAATCCATTCCATTGTCTAAAAGCTCTGGTTTTGGGGAAGGCTGAGACCGCTTGGAAAATCATACACGACTCCGGCACCAGTGACTACATCTTCACACACTTGGTTTGTTTGGGGTAGACGATTCCTGCGATGACGAATTTGGCGTAGATTTCTCTCAGCTTGTGGCTGAACGGGTTCTCCTTCACTAAGACGAAGGGTGGAGAGCCCTCTCTCCAACATGATAGTAGCTACAACTGAGGTGGGGGCATGGAGGTGCATGACCACAGACCATGCCTTGAAACCACACTCTTCCTTCGGGAGTAAGTGCATTATATACTGGCGTTGAGCGAGATTTAGGCTCAGAGACAAGATGTAGTACCCGGCGTATGAACGCTTGTCCCACTCATTTTGAGATTCCGCGGCACTAGGTCGTTTCTCGCTGCCTATCATAAGCCTTAGGAGACCTATCTGCCGAAAATACTGCTGCATCTTCCAAGACTAGTCGTCATAACCCACTCCACTAAACTTGTTGACTGAGAAGTTAATCAGCACCTCAGCAATGAGACCTGGCTTGTCCGGGCTAATCCTGGCTACCAAGACTCAAGTCCGGTTTGTCCGGCTCTGATGGAACCCCGGGTCGGGACGATGCCCATACCAAGGTAGCCCTGGACAGAACCATGCCCCAAGTGCTGACGTCCTCAGGGTAAGCGGCCCAACTGGCTCCGCACTCTGTATCCCTAACTAGCCGATACCACTACTCACGGGGGCTGAATTCATTTCTTCTCTAGGTGACCCCATCGTCGGATACGTTGAAAACGATTAAGTATCAGCTCCGATACCACGTGTTGAGTGCTATCTGCTATGCGGAAGCGTTAAAAAAACTTGAAATGACTAAGTTGAACCTAGCAACACCTACTCCTTTTGAGACCTTCCGAGTGTGACAGGGTGCCACCTCTCAGCCAAGGGCTCATAAGCACAAGGGAGTAACGTAAGTTTGGCTTAGCTCGTAGTGTGAGAGAAAACTGGTTGAACCGCGTTTTGGCACCACCGTGAAGCGTTTCTACTCTCGTCAATACGAAATAGAATTCCAATGCAAAAGCATGAAAGCATTGTTGTCTTGAAACAAACACAAGCACACAAAGGAAAACACGAGGCAGTTGTTTAACTGTAATTCAGGACGTCGCCATGGTGTCTTAGAGAACGGTTGCCTAACTGTTGCTGCACTTGGCATTTTCACCTCCTTGGAAAAAAACTTTCTTCAAATTACATGTCTGCCAAATGCCCCTGCTGAGTCATCTCACGAACGATCATGAACGCTCGTGTAGAATCATGAACACTCATGTAGGTTTCCCATTTTCAGTTGTTAACGGACTTTACCGTTGTTAAAACAGAATTCTCTGTTTTGTACTTGTAGCAAAATCATCACGCTAAGTGTCATGAATTTATGGTAAAACTACCTGTTTCTCGAGTCAACGTGGGATTCATTTTTTCTCAACTGTAATCCCGAGCACCCCTATGCCAACCTGCACGACCGATATATTTTTCATATGCCGGTGTCCTGTGTTCTCACCTTAACTTTTAGAAAATGACAGCAGTAAATTCCAGATTCAAGCATCCCTAGCAATAACATAATGGGTTGTGAACATGGGCAAAAGGGTGGAACCTGGTCAGTCGTGAGAGGCGGCTGGCCGGGGTTGCGAACGAGAAGGAATTTGTAGACGAAGAAGCCTTGCTCGCCACGCACATACTGATTTTGCTTCACCTACAGCGATTACAAGGATGCAATAGAACAGTAAGCATGCACCAGGCATAAGAATGGTATATTGGTGTTCTAAACGTGATCTCAAACCGTAAAAAGGTAAGCCAATCAACATGATACAAAAACGTGTGAGCCAACTCAAGCACAAGGCAAAGAAAGAGAGTCAGAAGGTTACATGGGCTGGGTGTTGAAATGGGGATGCACGCCGGCCCGGGTCAAACCAGGTCAGGCCAGCCACCGAGTAAGGCCAAATTCAAACCGGCAGGGTTGACGTTGTTTTGCGACCGGCCGTGCCTTGGCGCAACTTTGCAAGTCAAACTGGCCATGTTCCACCCAACTGGTGAGCGGTTCGTTGCTGGCCGATTCAAGTTTGGTCCATCCTCCAAATGTTTCCCAAACCGTTGGCTGGTTAGCGCTACTTTATTGCTTAATCACTAGCAGCTCGAGCATTAATGCACTTGTTTAAGCCACTTCAATGTGATTTTGCTTGGGCTCAGTTTGACTAAGGGCGTATCAAGAATACTGTTTGTGTCATGCGAGATTCTTGGAGCCCAGACATTCCACGCTGTTTCCACATGAGCAGCACCTGCCTATTGCTCATGTGGACCCACAAAGCAACCATATCAGCTCTTAAAGACAGACCCACCTTGTAAAGCCCATCGTATGTGAAAGCCCGTCCCGTGTCGGACTTCTTGCAGTTGTGCCCTCGAATGACTCTCACATCGTTCTTCACCTTAATGCTATTCTGAAGCAACCACAAAAACACATGTTTGGAGAAAGAAACGTAATACACAGCTTAAGACAAACACATGACCTAAACAAATATATAAACATGTCTATATATGCAGGGTGTTTTTTAACATCTTCACTTTCAAAACCAGAAGGTAGCATCTCACCACCTATTCAAACTGTGGTGCACCTGTCTGACTCTCAAGCTAAGCACCAAACTGTCATTTGTTTCTACCTAACAGTGATTCTGCAGTTCTAAATCAAACCGGAACTGCACCGCCACATTGAGGCATACGGTCAATGTGGCTGCCATCAATTTTGATGGTGAACAAAAAAGAGTGACCCGGTTCTGGTTTTATTCATACCGTTCCAGTTCAGTTAGACAATAGGCTGCTGATGCACCTCGAACTGGTGCAGTTCGTCACGACTTTGGTTGGTGGAAGTTGAAGCTCATTTTCTAGCTCTAACTATCTTCACATACAAATTGAACATCCCTCCCAAGCATTGCGGGACCCTTGGATCTGGGATTCCGCGGCCAAATCTGCACGGTTCTCGAATAAAGGAAGAAAATGACGTCATTACGCCTGTGATTACAACAAAGGCTCACTCAAGTCGAACCAGACCAGACATGTCTGGGTCGCACCACAGGTGGTTTGACCCAATTTCCAGGGGTTGCAGATCGGCAACATGAGATCACACGTTTTTTGACCCGGACAGAACCGGTCCGGTTTGGACATTGGGTTCGACAATTGACCCGGTTGAACCTGAACCCTTTGTGGTTCAAAACTTGCTCGTGCCTACTCAATAAGGCTGCAAGATAGGCTTCATCCGACCACGCGGCATTTGCAGCATCATCTCTTGACGTATGTGAGGTTAGACATGAGCAACGAACCGATTGCGCTCGGTTGATTCTATTCGAACAGGCCAAGAAGTTAGCAGCGGACCGGCAAATGTTTGGGCAGACAGTTCGTCCGAACTTATGAGGCCGCGTCGAAGCCGAACGGTTCGACGACTGATCCAGGTTCGTCGCAACCAGCTGAGGTCTCGCACGCCACGCAGTGATTTCACTTGACAAAGCTGGCCTAGGGGTTAGGGTTGGACGTCATTTGACATCGCAGATCCAGACATGTTTTAGTTTAAATTGGTTTCTTCCCTCCTATGCATCAACTCCCACTCACCTTAGATTATGTTGGTTCGTGGTGATGAGCGGTGAGCAGTGGGGCGAATTGGTTGGGAATGTTTGTTTCAAAACATTTGTTGGGGAAGAGGAAGTGCCTAGGATCAGTAAATTAAAGCAAAATCCCGATCGGCCAGCCGAAATCGACGATTTGCGCAGAAAGTCACATGAGTGCTGCTGATGGAATGCTGCTGAATCTGCCGAACACGCTTCTTAAATTCTACATTAAATATCGCCCTAAGCCCACATGCAAGTAAGCATGAGCAACTGACCCGACCCGCCGCGACCTGACCCGATTTGAGCGAGCCAAGTGGGAACTGGGTCGGATGGGGTCGGGTCATACCGGGCCAAGCAGCTTGCGTCATATCTATTCGGCATGATGATTGCCCAGCAGTTCGTTTTGCCGAACTTGGCACCGGCCATGTCATATCATTCTGCATGATGATTCGCCCCATGAGGACGCTCATGAGGGCGCAAGACCTGGCTGTATCTAAGTTATTTAGATACTTGTTAATGAATACCATTGTTTGTCACAGTTACGCCTGGAACATCATAGTTAGGAATGGTACATTCTGCTGGTCCAATGCTACGAGTCGAGCTTTGCTCGCACTCGTCCGAGCCTTAAAAACACTAGGCCAATCTCTGAAAACCTCGTCAAACATGACGAGTGACGAGTACCGTTCTTAGCTGAAAAGGTTCGTCCCAGCAAAACTCGGCTCGTCATAAAGCTCGCACGAGCTTGACCTATGACGAGCCGATTTTTTTCAGCTCGTGCCAAAGCACTGTGAGAACTAAAGCTTTGAATCGGTACATTAGTAATGAGCTCAAAGCTCTTAGGGTACATCCGAAATGAGCAAGGTATGGATGGAGAGGGAATCGGAGGCGATCCCTAGGGGATAGAGAATACTTCCAAGGCAATTTCCAATTGGTGGGTTGAAGATTGCTTGGTGATCACATTTGGGTTGGGTTGGGATGTGGGTGTACACCCAACCCAACCAACACAAAGTGTAAACTACACTACACTAGGATATAAAAGGTACAAGTACAAAAGTTGAGATTGAGGGCTAACACTAACATGCACATGTATACTGTTCGGGTTCTGTTCATGCTCATGTGGGAGTTTCTAAAGCATACCATGAGAGCCAGGTTTCCGGATCGCAGAACTTGGTTGGCCACTTGCTTTCGTGAGCCCAAAAGGTCGTTGCCGCCCTGCCCCGTGTACCAAATGCGGCTCGCCTCGTCCTCATCGTCCTCGTATCCTCCAGAGACCACCACAGCCACCGCGATGGACTTGTCATAAGGGCTCTCCTGTTAAGCAAAATCGGTGATTGCAATGCAAGGAATTTAATACCATACAGGACGTTAGGCATGCCGCATGAGCATGGTATTGAACAAAGGTTTGGTTCACTCGAGCCTCTGATTTTGTGATGCTGAAACCTATACATACATGGGCATTTGAACCGACCCTGTTATGTGAGGCTATCATTTGCATTCACGTTTGTCTGCCTCCCATTATATGTTCGTGCGTTGCATGCGTGGTGTGAGCCTGTGCAAGAATTTGTGTTTTTTGTGGTTTGGATTCACTGAGTGTGTGTGTGTGTGAATGTTATTTGGCTTGAGCAGATACCTGAAGTGACTCCCCTGCCCAAGAGCTTTCCGACGAACCAAGAATTGTTGCTATCGGAGCAAGAATGACGAAGTTATAATCGTTCGAAGTTTTGATTGGCATGCGACGACTTTGGGAAGTTGTGAAGTGACTCAATATGGGGTACAGATTTTTTGGGGTTGGGACATGCTGCCAAGTGGTTGGGAGAAACCAAATTGGGTTGGCAAGTGTGGCCAACTTCGGTGGGGTTGATTGTGGAGGTTGAGAAAATGACAAAACTAAAAGTGGAATTGCTATAGGGAGAAGATTTGATGTGCTTATGGGGTTTCGTTCGTTGGAAACTCCTTGTGGACCTTCCCTCTTGTCCTCCTACCTGGTTTTTAGCTAATCTAACTTTCTTGTGTGGAAATTGTGAGATAATTCTATTTGACTTACGTTTCAATGGCAACATACCCCCAAGTGCGCCGAAATTAATATCTCAAGAAATACTCCACCTCTTAATAAGATTCAACTTGGGAATGGTAGCTACGGTGTAGGGCTACTACATATCCGAAACTGGTGAAGTTTCAACGATGCATTTTTCATCGGCTTGTTACGTACAAATTGCCTAGTTCCTACTGCTGATAGTACCACGATAGCTGAAACAACTCTTCTCGGGGTCACCTCCGAGGGTCCTTGGGTGCCTGACCAAAGTCAGCCCCTATCCAAGGGTCCGAGTTTGTCGAAAGAGAATCTCAGTAGCGTAGAACTGCAGCAGCGGAAGTCCTATGTTGCGGCGTAGTCAGAGAATCCTTGATAAACTTGAGAGTCGCGTGGGAGAATGCTTGATAGACAGAGAGTTATTTTTAATATCCAAGACATACATTTTTATATTCTCTAAGCTGATCCTACTGCTAGATATCTAACATCTCTAAGCAATTCCTATCATTAGCGAGGCGCGAGCAATTTTCGCGTTTCCCTCGTTTTATTTTGTGACTCGGCTAGGTTGCGATTCGCCGGCGAATATTTCAACTGTTCGCGCGAAATTTATTAACGGCATTGATCCGTTCTTATTTTCACGCTCTTCTGATAACGGACGGCTCCGATCGATCCGTTCTGTTTATTTGAGTCAGCTTCGCTGTCTTGAACATGCGTGCTGATTTGGGCCAATCTCCTCGCTTGAAATACTGGTGGCGTTAGCAGTTTCGCCACGTACTTTGATCGCTCGAGTCGTGAGCACTTTCTTGAGCTGACGAGTTCCAGATGGCGAGAGTGCAGCTCTCAGAATGTCGGTGCTGCCCTCTGCTTCAGCCGCGTCAGCTTGTTCGAAGCCTGTTACAAACTTGCGTGAACACTTGTTCAGAACATGTTCGAAACCTGTTCTGAACATGTTCGGAACCTGTTCAGAATATGTTCGAAAACCTGTTCTGAACATGTTCGGAACCTGTTCAGAACGACGAACTCGCTGCGCGAACATTGACCAATCAGCGCAGTCGAAATTCGTCGCTTTGAGCACCAACGAGCTCGCAGCGCGAACGGGAACTCCGTGCTGCCTTTTGATCGATCGATCAGTCGAGTCAAGCCGAGTCTATGAACCGACACCTCCCACTGGTCAAAGCTAAATCCCACTTCGATAATAAACGATCCGCCTCAGCGCTTTTCGCCGCGCATTCCCAGGAGATAAACCGGCTGATTGATATACATAAAATTGATTATGTATTAACACACTCCCCCTCAATCTGTCGGTTTTTCTCCCCCTCTCCCTTAGTTCATGCTCATGCCGCTCATCCGCGCACATCGCCAGTGTGGTTCGTCAGCCAGCCGCTTGGTCAAGACATCTGCCGGCTGCTGCTGTGTCTTAATGTAGATCGGGTTGACAGTTCCTCGGTAACTTCCTTGCGCAACCAGTGCCACTTCAGGCGCATGTGTTTGTTGAGGCCGTGAAGGACAGCGTTGCGAGCCATTGCGATTGCTGACATGTTGTCGCAGTAGAGTGGCGTGGGAATCGTCTGCTCTTGACCGATCTCTTCCAGTAACCTTCTCAGCCATATGATTTTCCTTGACGGCATGAAACATGGCCATGTACTCGGACTCGGCAGATGAAAGAGCCGATTCACTCTGTTTCTTGGACCTCCAGCTCACCGGTCCTCCCCCTATCATGCAGATATATCCACCCACAGAGGATGAGTCTTCCTGCTCCGATGCCCAGGTTGCGTCCGAGAAGCAAGTGAGAAAGAGTTTCTGTTCCGGTAGCCTCTCTCCCTTCTCCCTTAGCAGCTCTACCCCCTTCTGCTTCTGCTGTGCCGTTGCTGAGAATTGAACTCCTACAGATGGGAATGAGTTTAGGTACTTCACGACTCTTTCGGCTGCGTCAACTTGTTCCTCAGTTGGGTTGGACACCACCCTGGCGAGTTGTCCGACCGCAAAGGAGATGTCCGGCCTTGTGTGTACAGCGGCGTACAGAAGGCTCCCCACAAGTGATTGGTAGCGCCGCTGCTCTCCCTCCTCAACTCCTTCTCCTTCCTCCGCTTTGACAAGTTTGAATTCGCATGTTAGTGGGGTGGCGACCTTCCGTCCGAGCTCCATGTCGTACTTCTCCAGCAGTTGCTTCACGTACTTCTCTTGGTGAAGCTTCAGCCACATGTGATCAGGGTCGCGTTCGATGTGCATGCCGAGGTAGTAGGAAGCCTCTCCAAGGACCTTGCACTGGAAAGTCTCCATGAGCCCTTTCTGCACCTTTTGAATCTCCTTTATGCTGCTGCTGAATAGTAGTATGTCATCGACATGCACCAAGAACAGCACCATCTCCTCCTTCTCGCCCTTCAGAAACAAGCTCTCATCACAGCTGCTTGCTCTGAATCCCAGCTCCCCCAAAACGGCTGCCAGTTTTTTATACCAACACCTTGGAGCCTGCTTGAGACCGTAGATAGCCTTGTTCAGCTTGCATACTCTCCCCGTTCCGTCCTCATATCCCGAAGGCTGCTCCATGTAGACTTCCTCTTCGATTACCCCGTAGAGAAAAGCCGTGGTTACATCCATCTGTTGGATGTACCATCTGCTCACTGCTGCGTCAGCAAGGATTCCTCTTCGACCCCGTTTTCCTTGGTTTCGGCAGGTTCTGCCTGAGGGGCTTCCTCCTGAATCGGATCGAATGACAGAGAAATCTCCTGCAGCTGCTGTGCAGTTTTCTCCTCCTGCTGTTGTTTCCAGCTCCCGTACATCACGTTCTCAAGGAATTTTACATCTCGGCTGTCAAAGAAACGCCCTTTCTTCGGTTCCCACAGCAGCTTCCCTTTGTTTTCCTGTGCCAGGCCAAGGTGCACGCACCAGATCGCGCTCGCTCCTAACTTGCTCCTGTGGGCTTTGGGAACGTGAGCCACCGCCATGCATCCGAATACGTGCAGCATGTCAACTGGCGGTTTCCACTTGAGCCACCGTCTCATTGGAACCCAACTCTCATCTCCGATATTCGTGAGGACCCTGTTTCGTGCCACCGTTGCATGCCTTACAGCATGCGGCCACTTTGAGTTTCCGAGACCGGACTCGATCAGTAGTGCTCGGGCTGTCTCGAGGATCGTTCTGTTTGCTCGCTCAGCTACCCCGTTGGACTGTGGAGAATAAGCTGTGGTGTTTTCCTTTATTATTCCCCTCTTCTTCAGCCAATTCTCCAGCTTGTCTCCCGTGAATTCTCCACCACGATCAGTGCAAATCCGCTTCACCCGACATTCAGATTGTGTTTCTGCCGTAGGAATCCATTCATCCTGAATCACCGCTGCTGCATCGCTCTTTTGCCTCAAGGGGTAGGCCCACATGACTCTGCTCCAGTCATCGATGATCGTAAGAAAATATCGCTCTCCCCCATCCCCTTGTACTGGCAGTGGTCCGACGAGGTTCATGTGCACTAGTTCCAGCGGCTTTTTACCGCGCTTGGAGACCGAGGAGAAAGGGAATCTGGTGAACTTGCTCACCAAGCACGTTTCGCACGTATGTTGCGGGGCGGTGCCGCTCAGCTTCAATCCATTTACCGCTTCCTCCTTGACCAGCTGCTGCAATACCGTCATGTTGACGTGTCCGAGGCGCCTGTGAGCAGTCACCCAATCTGCTTCTCCGCTTCTTGCCGACACCCGTTCCTCTGACACACTTAGAGCACTGTTCTCCCCTAGGCCTCTGGTCTCATCCTTTTCCCATGGTACCACCGGTAGTTGCCACATGGACCTGAAGACATCCTTGTCTTCGCGCAGATCCCATAGAACTCGGTTTCCTAACTCCCCCTTAAAGCTTTTTGATCCATTCGTGTTGGTGCTGACTCCGGCCTTGCCAAGCCTCCTGAGCGAGATCAGATTCGCCTTTAGATCCGGGACCAGTAGCACGTTCTCTAGTATAACAGGATTACCGTCTGCTCCCTTGAACAGTGCTCGACCTGCTCCTTGCACTTGCAATGCGTGTCCTGATGCTGACCGAACTTCCGAAATTGGTGCTGCACCAACTTTGTCCAATAGATCAGATCTCGGAATCATTGTCCACGATGCTCCCGTGTCTAAAATCCAGGCGCTTAATGGGTGAAGCTCGGCTCCCACTTTTGCTGAGGCCCCACTTTCATTTTCTTCCCCCTCCACTTGAAAAAACTGTCCTGCCGATCGCTCGTTGTACTCTTCTTCATCCGCATAGTCTTCGGAGTCGTTGTTCATGGCTCCTGCTCCCCTTCCTTCATTCGACTGATTCG